CAACAAGTTGATATCATAGCCCCCCCCCCCCCCCCCCGTTTACACTACAAACCAGTTTGGATCAAACCGGTTCAGAAACCAGCTTAATTGTGTCCACATGTAACTGTGGTTGAATCACAGCTGCTTCAAAGTACTTAAACCTGTTTGATTATCTCAAACCACCTCCTGAGGTGGTTTAGATAAGTCAGTTTCAAACCACATTGAAATTGTCCACACTAAACTGATTTATTTCTAAACCAGTTCCAAACCGCTTTAAGGGCATAGTGTAAACGGGCTATAGTCTTACTTAGGATCAGCTCCTAATAGAACACAGTGAGTGACCACACCTGCTACTTTAGTCTGATGGACTGGACTGGAATAGAGCTCACCCTTGGACTCTATCTGCCATAACAATACCAAACCACTCTAAGAGAAATAAAGAGACAATGCTAAAGACAAAGCAAATGCACCCCATACCTTATCAGCTGAAATAATGTGATTACCAGTTAGACTCCATCTTATAATGTTAACATTGCTGTGATGATGAGATGAGACTGAAAATATTTCATTTTCATACGCGTTGCATGTCGTGATTTCACCAGACGACCAGCCAATGGCTAGTATCTTCCTCTCTGGGTGCCAGCTTATCGTTTCGGCTAAATGAGACCTCTCAACACACATATCAGCAATCAATTCACCCTGTAATGTAATGATTAAGAATTAATTAAAGGTGTGGTTCAAACAACACAGAAATTAACTCCAAAATTAATGTTTAATTTGCAAGCGACAAAACTTTGTAATTACGCGAACACAAAAATTATTTTGCAAAGGTACCTCGTCATGACAAATGAAAACCATCCCGCGATCGGGAGATTTCCTTTCAGCCAGTACAGCTAACAGAGAATAGGTAGAGTGCCAGGAGACGTCGATGAATGCGGACCCCTCTAAAGGCGAGCGTACAGGATGAGTGAAATACACTGACATGGTGGAGGCCGGACGGTAAAGGGGAAAGAAGAAGAAGAGGAGAAAAGAAGGCGAGGTAAATTTGGTAATTGGTTGCTATGGAGGTTATGGTATTTTCCGCTCACTCCCGTATATCTGTTTATTAGGTTACCCACGTGAGAGCACGTGGGCTTTTTACAAGGTGTGGGAGGAGGTGTGGCTGGCTGTGCAGAAATGGCAGGAAAAGATGTCCACGACGACTATCCTTTAAAGGACTACAAGTATCACTGTTGCTCTGATCTGCTGGAGGGAAAGGTTGCCTTTGTGTCAGGTGGAGGCTCTGGTATTGGTTTTAGGATAGCAGAGCTCTTGATGAGGCATGGATGCAACGTTGCCATTGGTAGTAGAAGAATAGACAAACTAGAACAAGTTTAGTATTAATTTTGATGTGCTTTTAACGATTTGCTATGTAGTCAGCAAAGGACCTTAGTAAAGCAACAGGAAGACAGTGTCTGCCAGTACAAATTGATGTTAGAAAGGTAATAATAGAGAGAAAGCATCTCATTTACTAACTCTCCTCTCCTTTAATAGTATGATACAGTGTTAAAAGCAATGAAACAAACACTTAATGCATTTGGGTCAATTGATATTCTTATTAACTGTAAGTTCTTATTAATTGTTTTCTTGAACTTTAATAAATATATTAAATTCTCAGCTGCTGCTGGTAACTTTTTATGTCCTGTTAGCTCCATGTCATCGAATGCTTTTAAAACAGGTAATATAATCTATCAATAATAGCTAATGGCAGGTCCTTTTTATTGTGCATCATACAACAGTGTTAGAGATTGATACAATGGGAACATTTAATTGTTGCAAGGCTGCATTTGACACTTACATGAAGGTACAATTGAGCTAGAGCTATGCAAGTATCAGAAAATATTTAGCTGGAACCAACTTTAAATTTTTAGGATCATGGAGGCTGTATAATTAATATATCAGCTACACTTTACTTTAAAGGAGATGCTTATCAAGCTCATGCTGGCTCTGCTAAAGCTGCTATTGGTAAAAAATATAGAAATAATATTATTATCAATTTGATCCTCTAGATGCTCTTACTAGACATTTAGCAGTTGAATGGGGCCCACTGAACATTCGCATAAACAGTGTACTACCTGGTCCTATCGAGGGAACAGAAGGATTTAGAAAACTAGGTACAGTCCTATTACTATTATTGCTAGTAACCTGGTTTTTGTTATTTTTTAAAGGTGGAGCTGTTGAAGGTGCTGAAGAATTTTTAGAGTCATCTATACCACTAGGAAGGTGTGGTACAAGGACAGAAATAGCAGAAGCCTGTCTATTTCTCGCAAGTCCTCTTTCTTCATATGTCAATGGATCTCTGCTAGTCGTTGATGGAGGAGCATGGTTGACTTCTGGCTTTGCAAACTTTTCAAGTAAACTTTAAAAAACCTTTATCTTTTAAAAATGCTAATTTCAAAATTAATACTTTCCTAATACAGTGGTAAAAAATATATAAAAATAGTTTTGTTAAAAAATCCTATTTATTTCTAAAAAAAGTTTTATAGCAGCAAAACAAAGTCCGTTGTCCAACAATAGAGATTCAACCACGTCCACCATTCATTGCTGAGGCCTTCCTCTTTTCAATGAAAGATGAAGACGGTTCATTATTTAGAGAGAGGAGGCGCCTACGAGAAAAAGGCATTGATGACAAGTCCCTCCGTCTACGATTAACACTAACATTAACACAAGTTTCAATAGTTAATGTGAATTTTGTTGTGACATCAAATTTTCCATCATTGACAGTTATGCAAACTTCAAATTTGATAGACTTTATAACTTTTATCACATTTTTTACCACAGATACTGCAGAATCTACCACAGATTTTGCCTTGTAAACTATTGTTTTAACTGCAGATGTGATCTTTTCAGCTGCATAATTTACAAAAGATTTCAGTTTATCGAATAGAGAACAGTTTATTACTTCATTCTGGAGAGAACAACCATTCTGGGAGGAACAATTTACTCCACAAGGGTCATAAAGAACAATCCTTCTATTAGTTTCATCAAATTGTGTAGCAATGACATCAGTACCTGATGTATCTACTGTCAATGACTCTATGCAAGACAAGAGACAGCTGGCAAAACTGGCCGGTGGATCTGATAGTGAGAAAACAACTCCAGCAAATTCCCCATTTATATTCAAGTCGTACAAAACGTCACTGATAGGTCTTGCTCCAATGGCTAGTCTAGCTGTATCATTATCAGTAGGTCCTTCTATATCATCAATCAATGGGAGACCTACATGTATGCAATAATAATAGTTTTAAAAATGATGCATTCTATATCATATATAATAGCATAAAGAGCAAAAGATGCAACTAATAAATAATACAGACATATAGTATGGTCACTCTTTTTTTCTCACTATTATCACTACAACTCACTGTATGCTAGATTACAGATAGAGCTATCAACCACATCAGCATACACTACAGAAACACTGATGATACCAACTCCATCAACAGAGAGATAGAGGAATCTCGTTTGATATGTTATCATTATAAAGTGCCAGTTTCCATCATCAATCCTTTCTTCTAGTTGATAAATTATAGTTACTTGACTGGCTGGACCAGAGACTCCTGCTAGTTTAAGGACAACTTCAAAACGATTAGCATCAGAGTTATAATAGACAGCAAAATATCTGGTTCCATCATCTCCACCATAGTACAGTGCATAGCCCGAGCTATTAACAGCTGGTTTGAACCAGAATGTGAAAAAGAATCTATCAATGATGCCTTCAAATAGTAAATCATAGATTGAAGCCTGGCCATCATTTGTGTACAGTATGGTGTTATCATATGAATCGATCCTTAACTCAGCTCCATCAGTAGTCTCATTGTAATGGAGGAGATTAGTAAAGTTACTGCTAGCAAGACCACAGACTGTTACCATTTTTACAATGGCATTGGCCTCATCAATACAATGCTTACCAGTGAAAGGAGATTGACTAATTTGTTCTGGAGCAGGTTTTATCACTACTTTCACAAAGTTCAGTGGAAAGGTATCAGGATCATAAATAGTTATATTAGGGAATAGCAATGTGTCTTCATCAACCTGTGCTGTAATATTAGTGACACCTTCTATTGTTGGTGGCTCATCATTCTCATCTGTTACAGAAACAGAGACTGTAGTAGTAGCTGTCCTTGGTAGTGGTACACTAGCTATAGCAAACACATTAAAACTAAATGACTGAAGGACCTCATAGTCCAACCTTTCCTCTAGACTGAGGTACCCTGTATTGCTATTTATGCTAATATTAATCCAAGGATAATCCTCAACAGGCCCAACAAGGTATGTTATGATGTCACTCGGATTAGCTACTGTTGCTTGCACTTGTAGGAAATCGGGATATAGGGTGTCTTCATTGAGTGATGCAGTGTATGGTAGGTTAGAAAATATCGGTTCATCAGCTAATGTCACCGAAATGACAACCTCATTACTACTGAGACCTCCTTCATCAGTGACAGTGATACGTACATTACGAACAACCAATGGGCTCAATATACCTTCAGCAGTGTATGCAACATATTGGAGAGCTTCAGGCATACTTATACCAGAATCATTAACTCTTGTAAGAGTATAGACTGTACTACTAGATTCTAGTGCTGATGTAAAGGTGTAGTCAGAGATAGATTCATTGAGTGTGAGTGATTCATTTGATCCAGTTGGTACATTACTTAGAATCAGAGTAGCACTAGTAATACTGTCACCTTGATCTTCATCATATATACTAACAGAATCATCATACAAGAGCTGTCTTGATTGCTGTACTGCTGCAGCAGTTGAAGTGCCAGTGATAGTCAGTGTGGGTGCTTCATTCACATTCACTACTTGTACATTAACTGTAGCATTACCAGTCAGTTCACCATCAGAAGCAGATACAGTGAATGTTATTAAGTGTGGATCAACTTCATAGTTGAATACACGGGTGCTTAGCACTCTAGCAGACATCTCGTCAATACGATCCAGTCTAAACTGTGTTCCAGTCACTTCAAAATTAATAAACGTTGGAGTGGCATCACCATCTAAAGAGTCAATCACTCCAACTTCAGTGCCTGTTGGTGAGTTCTCATAGACTGTAAAACTGTAAGGAGCTCCAATAAACTCAGGAACGTTGTCATTACGATCTAAAACAACAATGACTAGATCTGCAGTAGTGACAGCTCCAGCCACATCAGTGAGTGTAATGGTGACTGTCCTGTTATCAAGTGTTGTCTCATTCTCTGTGTTGATGAATGCCAAGTTCCTAAGGATGGAATCAAGGTCACTGATTGTCCTCGAAGCATATGAGAATATGATTTGTGTTGTTCCACCACTAACGAGCCCATCACCACTTATCTGTCTATTCAGTTGTATGACTATCCTCTGAACAATGTTATTGTCAGAGTCACTGATGTATGCATTGGGTAGTAAGAGTATTTGAGGTGAACCTTCAATGTAGTATATAATGGAGCTACCATTGACTATCAATTCTGTGGGATCATCTTGAGGAATGAAGTCGATATACACTGAGACAGTGTTACTGTTAAGAGTTCCATCACTGATGGTTATTGTAATGAGTCTCATTGGGATTGATGTACCGAAATCAAGTAAAGGATTATCAGTGGTGTCAAAGGATAGGGACCGAAGGACACTGAGGTACTCATCAAGACTACCAGAACCAGTCAATGTCAGTACACCACTGCTTCCATTGTAAGCTTTGCTAATACTGCCTGTTGGAGTAATACTCAATGTGTCCTTATTAGCAACAAAATTTTGAGTGATTGAAATGACAGCACCAGAGAATGACACACTGTCAACGTCAGATATGGTGAGGTTTTGAGCCAGTAAGACTTGAGAGCCACCCTCTGTGAATTCTACTGTCCTAACAGTATCACCGACCGTATCGCCTAAACTGAGTTGTGGTGGGTCTTCAGTTGATATTACAGTTATGTGTGAATGAGATACAGGATTATTCCAGCGACCCTCAGTATCATAGACTGTGAACTCAATAGTGCGAAGGACTGATGTTGTTAAATTGTCATTGATGTTTTGATAACGCATCGTCTTTATTACTTCTACGAATTCATCAGGAAGGCCAGGGCCTGTGATTTCAATCCTAGTGCTACTGACTGATGTTAGGTTAATGAACCCAATACCAGAGCCAGTAATGTATTCATCAGATCCATCAACAGGATTGGCCAACTCTACAACTACCCTATCAATGGTGGGGAGTACATTAGGAACAGATATGACTCTAGAAATTGTTATGGAGTCGTTGACAATAGGAACTGATGCACTTCCTTCAGTAAATGAGGCAAAATATTCTAATCCGGTTACTTGATCACCATTCAAGTCAATGACTGGTACTGCAGTATCAGACTCAACATAAATAATGCTACCAGTGGTACTGGGCATTTGAATCACTAAAGCATCAGTAAACACTGTAGTGAAACTTAGTGTGCGGTTGCTACCAGCAATGCTCTCATCAAGTACACTATTGTATTGTATTTGTCTCAATACATCATTAACATCATCAGGAGGTAGTGCTGTTGATTGTGAAACTGATGACTCTATTGATATTGTGAATAAGTCAGACTGAGACACAGAGAGAGAGCTAGAGTATTGTGTGGGTGCTACTAAATTCTCACAGGCACATATGCTATATATTTGAGAAGTGTTTATTGCATATGGATAATAATAGAGTCCATGAAGATCACCACCAAGATGACGATGACCAATATTATCATTAGATGATGATCCTGGTATAGTACGAGCAATGAATACATCACCATTGATATAAGGAACTGCTGGTAACTGTCCACTTGGTAATAATATTGGATTGCCTGCTGATTCACAATTAGAATAAAATTCAACCTCTGGTCCACTAGAGCCAGTCCTCACAACAACAGTGTAGTGCCTGTTAATATAGTAGCCAGTGGGTACATCAAATACCACATTAGTCCCAGTCAGTGTTAGAGTTGCTGTACGTCTTGTGCCAGTTGTATCTGTATAAATCAATTGCATTCTGTTCCTTCTAAACCATATACCAAATACAATAGTTGGAACGTCTGTTGTTGGATCTACAATCCCAACTATGTGCCCTTCATTTGTTACAGTAGCAACAAATGATATTGAGAATTCTCCACTACCGAATGATGTACCATTAAGTGAGCTCCGTGGTATACGACCATAGCCATCATTTGCATTATTACCAGTTAATCTTACAAACTTCTTAGCAGGACATTGACCCACACCTAGTGTAGTATTAGTAACACCTAAACCATTGAACGTTGCAAGGTCGAACAGATTGATGGCAGAAGGTAGGGTAACCCTCTGCTCCTGACAGCCACCAGACCCAAGACAAGTTGTATAATTAGTGACACTGTATGGGTCGGTTAGTTTCACACGAACTGACTGGAGTAATATCTGATCATCATTATCAGTGACACGTATGGCTGGACCGATAGAGCTGGAATTACCAGATATAAAGAGAGCAGGAGTGAGCTGATTAACTACAGCAGGATTATCATTGACGTCAACTGGAATGAAATCAATGATAGTGTAAGAGACAAGAGTAGGTGAGCCATTATCAGTAGCTGACACGTTAAACACAAACACTTCTTCTTGCTCTGCATCAAGCCTTTGATTATAAAATAGTACACCAGTTGAACTATCAATGTGGAATATTGCTAGACCAGTATCTGTGTAGTAGGTATTGACCAGTCCATATGTTATCCTGTTATTGGAGATGGAAATGTCTGCATCGGTAGCTGAGACTGTGTAGAGGTTTCTCCTCTCAGTGAATGGGACAAACTCCTCCCTTGATGTAGCAGAGTTAGGTATGTAGGGAAGGTTTGTAAATTGAGGAGCATTGTCATTGACATCTTGAACATCAAATGTCAAGCAAAGTAGCTGGCTTTCCTTTGGATTCCCATTGTCTTCAGCTTTTATGCACACATTGTGGAACACGAACATCTCAGCATCCAGTCCATTAGGGATGGTAAGGAGACCAGTCTCAGAGTCGACAACAAATATACCTGGCCCATCAGACACAGTCGACACACCAGAGCTGTCAAAAGACACAATGGAGTTAATGCTGTATGAGACTATAGAGGCCACAGGATCTGTATCAGGATCTACAGCTATGAATCTACCAACAGTGATGAGTGAATGAGTCTCATTGTACGTGAAGCTTTGAGACTGATTAAGGAATTGAGGAGCAGCAGTGTTGGGTTCATCCACGTGTATTGTGACACAGCCTATGTTACTGCCCACCTCTCCATCGCTGACTTGCAAGCAGACGATCCTAGGAGGATTGACAGTGATGTGAACCCCAGCCTCATTGTTATACTGTAGAGTCTGCATATCATGAAGTATAGTGGACACATTTATCGGAGAATTATAGAGAGCATAGAAAACAAAAGACCCATTTGCTAGGACATCAGGTCCTCTGAATATAGCTCCACCTTGAAGGTCACCTAGTGAGAGGATGGCCTCTGCTTGAGTGCTGTCCTGAGGATTAGTAATGGTAGCATTGAAACCAGTGAATGTGGTATTATCGTGATCAGTCAGGTTCATGTTGTTCTTGAATATCTTGACAGGATTTCTGCCAAAAACTAAGCCTTCGGCAGCCTCCACTTCCAGAACAGGTGGGTCATTGACATTGATAATATTAATGTAAGTTTGACCAGTTGTAGTTGCACCAGAGCCTCCTGGTGGAGCCCTGTCTGTTATTGTGATTGAAACCATTCTCTGTCCACCTATCGGCTCTTCATTATCATTGCAATAGGTGATAAGCTTAAGTACTTCATTGTGATCATCATCTGCATCCACAAACACTAGGATATGTGCCGGATTGAATGTCAATACAAATGAACGGAGGACAGTTCCTTCGGGCGAGAACCGTTCACCGGCTCTTCTGTTCGTTACTCTCATTTCAATGAAAGAGAAACCTCTACCCTCTGGATCAGTAAGACTAAAATTAGTACCAAACACTGGTATACAGTCATCAGTATCCTCAATGAAATTAACATAGTATGAGCTGTTGCCTGTAGAGCCAAACACAAGAATGCCTGGGTCATTGTACAGATTAATGTTAACAACAAAACTAGAGCTATTGCTGTCCCTTCCGCCACTGTCTGATACGTACAGTGTAACACGTCTCTGGTTTGTTGTGGGATTGAGAATAAGATTAGAATATGTGACAGACTTTATGATAGTAATGTAATTAGCAATTGATGCAGAGCCACTGATATTTAATACACCAGTGTTGGAATCATAGATTGAAGTGATGCCAGAAATAGTGGTAGTCAATGAGAGAGACTCATTATCAGGATTATCAGTGTTCTCAAGCCTAAAGATTGCTCCATTCATATTAGAACTATCAGGATCAGTGAGAGATATTTGCACTGAGTGCAATAGAGCCTGGTGTCTATTCTGCTCTTGGAATGTGACTGAAGATGCATGAACAGTCAACTCAGGAGGATCATTAGCCAGGATGATCTCAATGTTAATGTATGACAATGGACTATTGGTGTGAAGTGAGCCTTCGTCATAGACAGTCAAACAGATTCTCCTTTGTGAATTTTGAGGATTCTTAAGAATGTTTGTATATTTGATGGCATAAAGACCCTCTAAGAGTTTCCCTGGTAAAGAGTCTTCTCCTGAGACTGATGAATGAATAGTAAATGAAGCCATTGATACTTCAGTTATGTTAATACCAGAGGGCAGGTCAGTGGCAGAGAATGACAAATACTCATTGCCAGCTGATGGATTAAGCAACTCAACAGATATTCTATTAAATCTCCAAAAGCCGCTATCAAGATCATAGAGTATAGCACCAGATGTTGGGCTTATTATTGGCTGGGAGCCTGATACTTCTTCATATACAAGTGAATGATCAATGCCATTTACTGAAAGGCCATTAAGATCAAGGACTGGTCTCTTGTCATTGACTCGCAATGGCTCAATAGAGAAATTAGAGAGAGGACCAATTCCCACAACGTCCTTAGCATAAATAAAGAGACCTCTTGATAAAGGATTGGGCTCATCGATTACATTAGTATAAATGAGACTGTCCAATGCCACATTAAACTCTTGGACACTGCAGCTATTAGGAACTTTACATGATAGGGTTACAGTCCTTGTTCTATAGTCAGTGGTTAGTGTAATGTTCTGTGTTCCAGCAGCATTAAGAGTCTCACCACAAGTTGTAATACAAATGACTTCAGAAACTGATAGACTATAGCCTGTACAGAATCTAAACTGAGCCATGTACCCATTGAGTGATTCACCAATGAACAATCCCCTTGGTTGACCATTATCAACTATATTGTTTCCATTGCTGCTACTGCCACTGAGGAGTCCATCAACATACAGGTACACATTGTCATCAATACGAGTGAGTGTAACTTGATGATATTCATTATCTAGAACTGATACTCCAGAATCACTCTCGATAACTAATAGGTTAGTGCTTGAAACTACTCTGATTCCACCATTAGGGAGGATGACGCCACGAAGAGCAATGTTATTGATCTCTTCAATTGAGAAAATGATTCCACCCAAACTGCTTAAGATCGCCTCTGCCTTAACCCAAAAGCTAATAGTGAAGTTGTTGTTAAATGATACCTCAGAAGCAGTGAATGCTTGATCTGTTCTGTATGATCCTGTGGTCAGATTGAATATACCATTGGTTCTTGATGCCCCCAGTGCTAGTGTGAGTCTTTCATCAGCATCAATACACTGGTCATTGAGATTACACCGACTGAAACTACTGTTACCAAATATAGAGATATTGGCATGATTACAGAAACCACCATCCAAAGGATATGAGTGGGTATTAGGAGAGGTTCTTAAAGATGCTACCAGCCTGTCTATTGCATTCTGGCCTATCGCATCAGGCTCAATGAGAGCAAGGGATGCTAGTGATATTGTGACACTTTGTGCCTCATCAATTCGACTCTCATTAAAGATAAAAGCAGATGAAGAAGATGTGTCGATTATGTATGGCCTGTTGTCATCTACATCAGTGATGGTTATAGTGACCTGTACGCTGTCAGAAGCACCAGCAGTATCAGTGACCACCACACTAAAAGTATGGGTGGTATTTACTTCATAGTCAAGAGCTACACTAGTAGTGCTTAGTATACCAGTCACTTGTTCTATCCGGAATAAGGTTTGTTGCGGTACCAGACTGAATGTAAGGTCTTCAATAGGAGTATCAACATCGCTAACACCAACTGTTAATATTGGGGAATTAGTAGGGAAGGTCTCAGTAAGATTGACACTGTATGATATATTCCTAAAGATGACTGGAGGTACATCATCAGTATCAACTACTGATAGCATGATGTGACCAGGTGAACTACAGCACTGAGGTACACAGCTATCACATGCTTTGTATCTTAATAAAAACTGCGTTCGATTCTCATAGTCAGAGGCATGTGGACTGGTTGTTCTTAGGACGCCATTAGCATCAATTTCGAATAAGTCCCGTCCTTCTCCCCAGTATATCGTATATACCAGTTCACCACAGAGATCGGAATCATAGTCAATAGCAAATATCTGTGCCACACTATGCCCTACTGGACTATTCTCTGAGAGATTAGCAGTGACATTGGCTGGAGAGAGGAAAGGTGTGTTATCATTAGTATCATTGATGAATATGGTAACACTAGCTGTATCAAATACCATCTCTCCATTACCAACTCCAACAGTCAATATAAACTGCCTAGTGCTCTCATAGTCGAGGTAATCCTCAGGGCTGATGATAGTGTTATTAACGAGTGTAAACCCTTCATAAGGAATAGAGGACACAATGGAATAGACAAAGTCGGCATCTTCAGAGTTCAGGTCCCGATCTATAGCAGTAACCCGTCCAACCTCAGAATTGAAGTCATTCTCTTCAATGGAGAAGTCATAAACGTTAGGAACAAATATTGGTAAGTTATCAATTATAACAACAGCAAAGGTATAGTCTGTTGATAGTGGGTTGTCCCCCATATCAGACACCCTAACACCAAGGTACTCTATGTGTGCCATTGTTCCCAGTAGCTCTACCACACTGGCAGTGTATAGATCACCAGTTGATTCATTAACGTAAAACATGTTCGTGAGATTCAAAAGTGTAAAGCGCAGCTCTGCATTATTTCCTTCATCAAGATCGGTTGCATTGAGTGTAGTGATGTAGGCATTGGAGGGAGTATTATCTCTTACAGCTGCTGTGAACGGTGGCAAAGGAATGGGAGCGTTATCATTGATATCAGTTAGAATGAGAGTTAATTGTATAGGACTACTGCTCAGTGAAGGTGTGCCTTTATCACTAGCAGTGACTTCAATGGTATGGACTGAGTCGCCATTAGGTGGATCACGATCAAACCTGGTGGCGTTAGTAATGTTAAGCGAGTCCTGTACTGGGCTGAAGTTATTACTGGTATTGGAGATGAATAGCTGAGAGTTAATGCCAGTGTCATTGTCTTTGAAATCAAGAGACAGAATGACAACTGATTCCTCTGGTACAGTGAATGAGAGTGGCCCATCATAATAAGGATGTTCATCATTAACATCCTCCACTGTCACTGTGATAGATTGTTGGGCATTAAACATAAAATCACTGACCTGTACTTCTATGACGTGTTGTGAAAACTCTTCCCTATCCAGTGACCTAGCTGTATAAACGCTACCATCTGAAGTGATGTTAAATCTACCACCAGCATCATTCAATAGGGTAAAGAAGAGATTGTTATACGGCATGTGATCTTCATCGGTAGCATTGACTCTTATAACCAATTCATTGATGACATTCTCTGATACACTGGCAGTATTGGGTGATGTGATATTAGGGCCGTGATCGTTAATATTAACAACAAATATTGTGATGGTATCATTACTGCTAAGAGATGGTGTGCCAAGGTCATTTACTTCAACTGTGAAGTGATACATTCTTGTCTCCTCAAAATTTAAATTATGACAGACGATTACACAGCCTGTCTCTGCTACCACTTTAAATGGAAAATCTGAAGAACATTCATCAACACCATCACTATAATAACGTAAGATACCACCCATTCCAGTGTCAGGATCGGTAGCATTGAGACAACCAACTGTGACGTTATTCTGAGCTGTTTCATTGACCATTAATGTGAATGGATCATTAATTGTTGGTGGGTTATCATTAACGTCAGACACACTAACAACAACATCAGTCATGTTACATAAACTAGGACTGCCCAGATCACAGGCTTGGACTACAAGAGTGTACTCACAATACTCTTCATAATCCAATGAGTGGCACACTGATAATCGGCCATTATCGTGATCAATCTCAAACGGGAATGTTGAATCACAAATGATATCACCGCCTGATCCTAATTCATTTCCTGATCCAGGATCACCAAACCCAGAGACACAGCCGGAGTTACCAGAGCAGCGGCAAGCGGTGCTACCCTCAATAGTAAATACTACCAAACCATTGTGACCCTCATCTGCATCAGTAGCTCGAACACTTCCAGGCAATATATAGTCCACTGGTTTATCCTCAGATACTTGGAAGCTTCTTGACCCAATGAACAGAGGATAGTTGTCATTGATGTCTTCAATAGTAAAGTTAACAGTTAGAATAGCATATTGGGATACATCATCAGAAAGACCAGGTGGATTAACAGCCTGCACTTGAATAGCATAATAACTTGATAGCACTTCACGATCAAGAGCCTCTCTATTCTCAACAACTATCATGTTATTTTGTATGGCAAATGGAGTGCCTTGTGATAAAAGCATATAGGACACCTCACTGTTGTTAGCAGAGTCACCATCAGTTGTATTTAGAAAGTAAACCATTGAGCCATCAGTCATATTCTCTGTTATACTAGCTCTATCAATAGGGCTGGGGAACACTGGAGGTAAGTCATTACGATCAATCACATTAAGCACTAGAATGGCATCAGAGATTTGTGTTACATCATTCACTGTATCAGCTGGAGGATTAGTAGCTCTCAAATGAATCATGTATACCTTTTGATCACTCTCATAATCAACTGGAGCTCCTCCAGTATAATTTACGTCTTTATTATCACGGATCTCAAACGGTGAAGTATTATTTATTAAGCTATAGCTAACTTGAGAATTAGCATCACTATCAAGATCAGTTGTTGATATCTCAAATACTAGGCTATTGATAGGAAGATTCTCATATATATTCCTGCTAATGACTTCTGATGGGAATATTGGTGGGTTGTCATTACGATCAATGACATTGAGAGTATAAGGAGCATTGTTGGGGCATAATTGAGGCTGGCCATTGTCACAGACCTTAATGAAAAAGGAATATGATTGATACTGTTCATAATCTACTGCAGTGCAGTTAGTAATGTAACCAGTAGTAGAGTTAAGACTGAGTGCAGTTTTAGGGTTTGAGCAATCAGTAGAGAATAATGTTGAGTCTGAAGAGTATGTTAAACGGCCATTGTCACCTTCCTCAATATCAGTAGCATTTATTTGTATAGCAAGTGCCATATTCTCAGGTATAGTGTAGTTGAATGGTGGATATATATAAGGTATAATGTCATTAACATCAACAATACAAATATTCATCCAGACATAGGTAACTTGAGTTATGTCTGGTAAGTTAGAAGTAAAATTGTATAATATATCATCAGAAGGAGGATTTAATATACATATCAATATATGATAGTCTCTAGGACCAGTTTCATAATCAATAGCACTAGAATCATTCACTATCAACTCATTATCATTATCAATAGCAAATGGTGTCCCTGTTGTATTGAGTGTTACTATACCAACAGAATTAGGAGGAGAATCAGCATCAGTATAGTTTACTGTATATACAAGATCATCATCAGTGACATTCTCTAGTAAATATAGTTTAAATTTTATATATGGTACTACTGGTGGGTTGTCATTTCGATCAATAATCCAGATAGAATAAGAATCATTGCAGCACAGTTGAGGCTGGCCATTGTCACAGACCTCAATGACAAAGGAGTAAGATTGAGACTGTTCATAATCTACTGCAGTGCAGTTAGTAATGTAACCAGTAGTAGAGTTAAGACTGAGTGCAGTGTTAGGGTTTGAGCAATCAGTAGAGAATAATGCTGAGTCTGTAGAGTATGTTAAACGACCATTGTCACCTTCCTCAATATCAGTAGCATTTATTTGTAAAGCAAGTGCCATATTCTCAGGTATCTTGAATTTAAATGGTGGAAATATCAAAGGTTTAATGTCATTGACATCAATAATACAAATTTTAATCCAAATATAAGTAACCTGAACTTCGTCTGATGAGTCAGAAGGAGGATTGTATATACATATCACTATATAATAGTCTCTAGGACCAGTTTCATAATCAATGGCACTGGAATCATTCACTACCAACTCGTTACCATTTTTAATAGCAAATGGTGTCCCTGTTGTATTGAGTGTTACTGTACTAACAGAATTAGGAGGAGAATCAGCATCAGTAAAAATGACTGTTAGTAGAACATCATCAGTATCATTCTCTGGTAATGTTATATTGACAACATTATTTGGTACTATTGGTGGATTATCATTACGATCGATAATATCAACAGTGACATTCTCAGCCCTTATGGTACACATTCGTGGATTACCTCTATCACATACACTGACATAGAAAGAGTAAGATGTTCTATTCTCATAGTCCAGCTCAGAACATGTAACAATGTTACCAGTAGGAGTAGCATAGAATGGTAGCTCGGTAGTACAATTATCATGGACTCCAATAACATTATAAACTGATAGGAAATACTCTAACATGCCACCAGGACCATCACCAGCATCTTCATCAGTAGCAGGTACATTACCAATGACAGTATTAGCCGGTTGATTCTCTGTAATATTAAATAAGAAGTTATTGCCTCCTATCACTGGACGATGTTCATTGTTGTCAACAACATAAACAACTACTGTAAAATCAACTTTTAATTGTGATGGGGAGGCACCAAGGTTCAGAGTCTCCAGCTCAACAGTGTAGTTACGAGGATCACTTGGGTTTTCAAAGTCAACAGATCGGCAGAAGAAAAGTTCAAAAGTATTTGGATTTACCCCAATACGAATGTTATTAGCACACACTCCACTACCATCCCCTGCTGTGTCTCTATGATACACTGAGGGCACATTATTGTTCCCTAGATCTGTTGCATCATCATCAGTAATTACTAACTGACCAAACACAAACCTTCCTTCAGTCTCATTTTCTCTAACAGTGAATGTGATTGGAACAGGGCCATGAACAACAGGATAGTGATCATTGATATCTCTCACTCGTACAGAAACACTGACATTTACACTATGCCTAGTACCATCAGCATCAGGACCATCAGTAGCCACTATCACTAGATCGTATGTTCTAGAAAATTCAGCATCAAGGCAATCATCACGCCTTAGCTCTCCAGTGACGTTATTGATTCTAAACCGTCCTCCATAGCTATCAGCTAACGAATAAGATACACTATCACCTCCATCTTGATTATCAGTTGCTTCGAAATCTCTCAAAGATTCACCAGGAATACTCACATTGACAGTACAGCTTCCATCATGCTCATTAGTTCGTATTAGGCTGGTGTCTGCAACGGTAAAGACAGGTCCAAATTCATTGATAAGTATCAAAGTTATCAATACTGGTTCTTCATTAGTCAGTGTAGTACTGCCATGTTGCTCAGTCACACGAACTGTGAGATTAAACTCCATATTACTCTCATAAGATGTTAGCAGAGTGCTATTACACACTACTATATTGTAACCACTCATACAGAATGGAGTGTTTGCCTGTAAAATGGTAAAGGTAATAATGGAATTTAATGAATCTCCATCCAAATCAGTGATTGATACTGTAAATACTACATGATTATTTGGCGCAGTCTCACGTACTGATGTCTCATAAGGAGTACCAGTGAATGTTGGTGGGTTGTCATTAACATTGGTAACATTTACATAAACTGTTGTAGTGGTTATCTGAGACACATTCCCTGCATTGTCATAGACCTGTACACCAAAAGAATAATCAGTTTCTACTTCAAAGTTAAGAGCCTCGGCTAGTATGAGACTGTTGTTAACCAGTTCAAATGATGAAGGAACATTTCCAACTAGAGCAAATACAAAATTATGAGGAGTGACGTCACTATCGATTGCATTGAGTGTCAGCAATACATAACCAATGGGTGTGTCCTCAGATACACTGATACTGTAAGGGCCTGGTGGGTCGAACACTGGGAATGACTCATCAACATCTTGTACATTAATGGTGAGGTTGAGTAAAGCAGACATTACTTCAGTATCAGTCCTTGTGCTATAAGCCTCTAGTGTGATGATGTACTCGTCCTCAGTCTCAGCATCTAATGCACCCACTAAACTAAGAGTCCCATTGAGCTCATTCACACTTATAATATTACTATTGGGTGGTATGGTACCAGCTATTCTGTAGCGAACATCACTAGAGTCCATTGTCCCCTCCTCATAAGCTTCTAATGGTCCTGGTAATACAAAGCTTGGATCATTTTCTGGTATATTTACTTCAGACGGTATATTGTCCCTAAATACTAGTGCATCGGGTGGTGTGGGTAGTACATGAACATTAATGACAGTGTGAGTGTAGAGCTCAATCTCTCCCATATCATGTATAATGAGTACTAGAAGATAATAGTCACAGAGTGAGGCATTGATGGGCTGAGAGGTGGTTATTACTCCTGTAGTACGATTGACTGTAAACATCTCAGCTCCCATCCCAAGTAATGGAGAATATACTAATTGTGCATTGAGTCCTTGATCTCTATCGGTAGCATTCACTTTAACTACAAACTGACCGACTCTGTTCTCATAGACATAAGCAGTGAAGGAGCTCTGTACTTCAGGATGATTATCATTAACATCACGAATCTCTACCACTACTGTCCCAGTGGTAACTGCCCTGGGATCAGCACCATTGAATATAGCAGTTACTATGATACTGTATGAACTCTTTTCCTCGTAATCCAGTGAACCTATTAGTCTAATGTCACCTTCTTCACTGATTGAGAATACTCCATCAGCTCCTCCAATAAGTGTTACTCTATAAGTGCCTCTTGGGGCTGGCCTGTAAGGTTGAGGGTAGTATACAGGTATAGTGTAGTATATTGGGTTGGGGTTTCTGTTAGGGACATCATTCTCATACATGATGAAAGCAGGGTCCTCTACTGGAATGACTGGAGTCTCATCTCTAGCTACAATACTTATACCAACTGAAGCACCCATGCTTTCCTTAGATCCATCAAAGGCTGTGACGTTAAGAGTTCTCTCGATAGCTGTAAACAGTGTCTCATTGCCTAAGTATTGATAAGCAAGGTTACCAAGCAATTCCCTATAGCGTGAGACATTAGCATTATCAAGATATTCAAACTTAAACTCTTTGGAATTACAATAAGCAGTCACCCTAAGATCAGTGCAGAGATCAACCGGATTGTTACATGAGTCAAATACATCAGGGTCACACTGTAGACTAGTGTGTACGACAGACTGTCTGTATCTAGTGCAACCGATTGGATCGATAGAGAGTGAAGAATTGGTCGGAATACAAGGAAACCTAATGGCATCATTCAATAGCTCTAATGTGCTCAAATACAAAAACTTTACACTCAAGTACTCTAGCTCTGCACTGTCTTCATCAGAGAGTATATAGCCAGCATGTGACAGATTAGATATCAGTATAACACCAAACTCATTGCTTATGGAAGCTTCGCCTGGTGCTTCGCCAACAGGAGTCAACGAGGTTATGTTATTAGCCAATGACTCGTTATAAATACTAACAATGTGCCTCAAGTCATCAATCCCTTGAATGTATTCAAATGTAAAGTGTCTACCAACACGACCCAAATCAAGATCAATGAATGGCGGCTCATTGCCAACAGTAACAGTGACAGTAGTGAGAGACGGTGAGCTAGTGCTGTTGCGATCATCAGTGACGGTTACTGATATACCACAAGTACCAGCTGGGGCAGTATCGGGAGCTTGAAATGTAATAGAACGAAGGATACTAACAAAAGCGATAGATTGCCTACAAGCTGAGAAGCTAGTAGTAACCTCATACACGTATTGTGAATTGATAGAGCTAACAGAGAGAGACATATCACCAAACTGAGTGACTACACTCAAGGCTGTCATAGTGCATGTCTGGGAAGCAGGATAAGCCAGTCTCATGCTACATATGTTGTCATTGTCCATGTCAGTAATTGTGGCATCACTGGCAGCAATTCTAACAGGGTCATCTTCCTTTGTTGTGTATGATACCTGATTATTGAGAGTCTGACTTGTATCACCATTAAGGTCAACAACAGGAGCCGTGGGTAGGTCCCCTATTCTTATTGTTGCCATGGCCACTGAAGTATCGGAGCCATCATTTATGGTGACCTCAACTTTCCTCAAGTTTAGACTTGGACTTGCTCTAGTGTTAGAATAACTGACTGATCTGAGTAGAGTCTGGTAATTATTCAATGAAGCTACACCAGTCAATGAGAGTACACCAGTAGCCGGTATGAACTGACCACTGATACCAGAGACTGGTGTGAATCCTAGTGACTCCTGTGATATGTCCTGCCTAGTGACGCTATCTCCATCATCATTCACTTCAGTGAGAACCAGCCTCATACTGGCCAGTGTGGTTCCATCAGGATCAGTAACAGTGGCTAATGGAGATATATCCACTGCTGGACCATCAACATCAAATTCAACCATAGAATCCCTTGTTAGTGGATTAGATGAATCAAGATCAAGAGATGGAGGATCATTAGTTGATACTACCGTTATGAATGTAAAGACTGGATCTGAGAGTAGGCCGTCATCAGAGACAGAAAATCTTACCCATCTAGTATGAGTGGAAGGAGTGAGCGTATTGATATTAATATAGCGCAGTGCCCTCAGTGCAGTTGGTAAATGAGATAATGATGACTGTATTACTACCTCCTCATGTGTAGATGATACAAGAGTAGCAGGGCTTAAAGAGCCTACAACTATCAGTCTATCTTCACCTAATACAAACCCTTCACTAATAGTAACAGTTACATTATACAATGCTGAGTCAATGGTGTCTGGATCATCAACCTCAACCTGACCAACTATCAGGACACCAACAGAATCATCCTCTGTATATGTAACAGAGTAATTGCTCTGACTGCCATCCAATGCAAGATCAACTGGTAAATCATTCACAGGATCAAGTACTATAGTCACTTCACCGTCATTAGTAGAGCAAGGGCTATTTGTACTGTCACTGATATCAAAAATAAGTGTAGCCATTGATCCAAATGTTGGCTCAGACTGAGTATCACGGAATGTAAGAGTCCTTAAAACTTTCTGGTACTGTTCAGGCTCTGCTTGTCCCTGGAGAGTCAGTGTGTTGTTACTGTAAGAAGAGGTAATGACTGTATCACCAAGACTGACCTCAAGGAGACACCCACTGCAGTCAAAAGAGGAATCAGAAGGAGAGACTCTAATAGTAGCACCCTCAATGAGTCCTTTATAATCTTCATCAACTACACTCAGTAGTGGATCAATATTAATCTCACTCCCATGCTCAGGGTACACCAAATGACTCGATATATTGAATGATAGTGAAGGACAGTTATCTGATACCAGTGAGACTGATACAAAGGAATAGACAGGAGAGCTGTCAGCCTCACCATCACTGATGACATATTGTATTCTTCTAGTGTGATCACTAGGCTCTGTATTATTGATACTCAATCTTAGCATGCCAACGAACCACTCCCAATTGGAAGCTGTTTGATTGCTGATGTATGTGTACGTACGACAGGCTTTGTCGCTAGTAGATAATGACTGGGTGATACCAAGTATGCTGAGATTGGCAGGATGAAGATAATCCTCTGATAGAGGATAAGGATAATCAGGAAGGTCACAGCTACCATCAGACTTTGATATAGTAACGGTTAATGATTGTAAAAACATGTGGTCTTCATCTATTATCCTAACATCATTTATATCTGATAGGTATATGAGTGAAGGTGATTGATTCTCAGTGTAATTGGTTGTGTAGTTGGGACTGTTTGGTCCACCCAAATCAAGGTCAACAACAGGACCATCATTAACAGGTAGGATCTCAAGGCCTACCAAGCAAGAATCAGCACTAAAAGATGAGTTGCCCTGAGAAGCAGAATTAGTGGTATCTACACCTACAGTGCCAGGGCTGAGGCCATTACTCCTATCCCAAGCTTTAAAATTAAATGAAGCACTACCATGAGAATGAGGGTTAGGTTTGAATCTTATTATACTATCAGGAGCTAATAGGACACTTGATGATGTAGAGACACTGGTGATATCAGTGAATGATGAAGTTCCTGATACTCTAAACTGCCATGTGCCATCACCATGAACACTAACAACAGCAACACCAATGCTTGATGGAGTATTGTCATTATCATTAATGACTGATGCTATATTAACAGAGCTAATGTTAGCACCACCGTTCAATGAATCTGGTACATCCTCTGATATGGTTGGTAGCGATAGAGCACCAGGACAATTGACAGAAGGCTGATCATTAACAACTAATAGGCCAATGTTAACAGTAGCTACAGATAGTTGAGACATTGTGTCATTATTATCAAAGAACAGGGACCAATCTGGATCGAGTGAGCCTGATCCAAGCCCTTGACCATCAGTATACTCAAGATCAGATATTCCAAATGTAATTTGACGACCTCCGGAAGGAGATGTGAGCTCTTCTTGGGTATTTTCATAAGTGACAGTGCTAAGTATACTGGCATATTGCTGTGTAGTACCCTCGCCATATATCAGGAGTCTAGATCCTCTATCACTGGTTGAATTAAACCCAGAAGGCAGAGGACTACTTAATCCTAAACTCTCACCAGAATCAAGTGCATTGTCAATAGTAATGAGAGCATACTGCATTAGATATTGTGAACTGTCTACATCAATTATGCTAACACTCGCTATTGTAACTGGTGAGCCGCCTTCCGTAAATACAGCACTAGATACAGCACTGATCAATGGCCTGTTATCATTAAGATCCAGTATCTCAATAACTACGCTAGCCATTCCTTGTCTAGTTGGTGTACCGGCATCAGATGCTCTTATAGTGAGTGTGTATAGCCTTAGGTCAGTTTCATAGTCAAACATTCTATTAGTGTAAATACCAGTGGAGGTAGAACCAGAGAGTGTGAAATTAACTGATGGCTCAAGAGAGTAAGAGAGACGAGCGTTATCTCCAGAATCAGCATCAGTGAATGCAATGATGAGTTCAGGTATCAGTGTTGATGCAGGGAGATTCTCATTTATACTAGCAGTATAGACTGATTGGGAAGGAATGGGGCTATTGTCATTGACATCCTCTATTGTTACTGATACTGGGAAATCAGTATAATAGCCACCTTGATCAGTGATACGTATCGATAAGACATAAAAGAATATCTTATTCTGATCAGGATTAAGATCACTAGCAACTGAAAGCACACAATCATTCTCATGTATTGAAAACAAATCACTCCCAGCAGACGGAGTGACATCCACTAGAGAGAAGTTGATGGCAGTGTTCTTTAATCCATCAGGATCATAGTAAGAGAAATTAAGTGGAGCTTCAGTAACTGGTGCATTAGAGCCAAGATTAGAGTTACACTGACCAGTGAAATCTGATGGAGGGAGACAAGACTCCATTGTACAAGAGGTATCTCCTAACCTGTAAAACAATTTACCACCGACAGAGAGTGTATCATTAACAAGTGGCTCAGACACAGGGTCTGAAGTGAACCCGTAAAATACCGAGCAGCGTCCATTAAACCCAGTTAAAGACCACAGGCTAGTGTCATTAAAGGTACTTGCAAGACCACCTGAATTAAAGCCTCCGTCCACAAGAGAGCAATACTCAAAGTCTTCAATGGTATTATAGACCACACCAGGCTGTATTGAAGCACCATCATTCAGTTGACATCTATATGTACCATTAGCAATAGACCCGTTCAGTGCTTGTATATACATAGGGGAATAGAAGGCAACAGTCCTTTCACTTACTGTGAACAGAGACTGAGTGAATACAGTATTGAGACTTAAGTATCTGAGATACGTGTCATCAGTAGGCTGGGCATTATAAGCTCCCAGTATGTCACTACGATAGTCATCAGATAATGGCAATGTTAGTTCAACCTCTGAAGTGCTATTAAGATCGGCAGCAATGTATTGGGTCCATACAACTTCAGCACTACTGTTAATGCAGTCAACCCCATTGAGATACGTAACCTCATTCAATACAATACTACCATTCTCATACCACCTTAAGTACTGACACAGCAATACATCATCAGCATCATTCGTCTCTGATTTCTCCATTATACGCCTCAAATACAGGCCAGGCTCAACCACAGTAGACCACTCTACTGCAACATTAGTCGTAATTGAAGAACCAACGGAAGCAGTTTCCAATAGACTGGCTGTATAATTAGAAGGATCGGCCACAGGTGCATGCTCATTCTCATCCAGTACAGTAACAGTAACTGGTGCCATTGCTACATTTGGCTGATCTCCAGCCACTGGATTATCAGTAGCTTCAACATAAAACTGGTAGACTTCTCTGTGCTCCCTATCCAATGCCTTAAGCTTGTATATTATGCCAGTAATTGGGTCAATGGCGAATACATCACTTGGCTCATTATGAAGCGAGTAGGTGACATTATTGTTACCATTAAGGTCACCATCTAAAGTGAATCCGTAATCAGCATCTGTGGCTCGTACTGTGAGTATAGCAATGCCATTGGAACCAATGCCAACTTGAGTATTCTCAATAACAGTGGAACTGTACGAAGTAGCAGTGAATGAAGGAGAGTTATCATTAACATCGGATACATAGATTGTGTAATTTAGAGATATTGCTCTGTTGCCGATGTAGCTAGGATCAGTGTTTAGATCAGTTAGTGTCACAACCAATGGATAAGTCTCCATACCAGTAGAATCGACATCAAGATCAGAAGGGACAGTTATGATACCAGTTTGTGAATTAATAGTGAAAGGAATGCTGGCTAGTTCATCACTATCGATACTATAAACTAACTGTGAATTAATGTCAGGGTCATCCCCTCTGACTGTAAGAGAGGCCGGTGACCTAGGACTCTCAAATATATAAACATCACTAGCAAAATTAATGAAATATGGTGCCTCATCATTTACATTACTGACACTGATGGTTATCAGAGTAGTGGTTGACATTGAGTTTGGTTGATAATTGTCGCTTGCAATGACACTGAGGTTGAATGAGGAGCCTGTAGCCTCATAGTCCAATGGTGATACAAGAGTAAGGGCACCAGCACTGTTTAGACTGAAATGAGTAGAGAATGGGCCACTGCCTAAAGAGTAAGTGATACGTGACACAAAACCAGCCGAATGAGCTAAATCAGGAGCCTCGTCAGCATCAGTGGCAAAGACTGTGAGCAGAGGAGAGGCAGATAGGGCATTCTCTGTCACTGAAGCAGTATAAGTATCATTGAATACTGGACTGAACTCGTTAACATCAAGGACTATCACAATGACACTTCTAGTCTCTGAAGATACCCCATCAGAGACAGTGACATTCATTGTGAACTGTGTACCAGGTACTGTCTCCCTATCAACTGGTGAACTGAGCCTAAGACGACCAGTAGATTGATTGATACTAACGTATGGAGAATCAACAGAGAAGGAAACTGGGAATCCATCAGGATCTATGGCTGATACAAATGGAGGCATCAGTGATTCATCATTATTGCTTTCATATACGGTGAAATTTGAAGGGAAATTAATAAAAACAACGTCTTTATTATTCACATTCATAACATTAATAAATATGGTGACCTCTGCTGGTGCAAAGCCTCCTGATGATCCTCTTATTGTTAGCTGGTAGAAATCATTCACATCAAAATCAAGAGAACTCTGCAATCTTACTAAACCTTCTAGTGGATTGAGTGGATTATTCCCAACACTAAACTTATTGCCGACATTACCAGATACAATACTGAATACAGGCACTTGTGGTGTAGGGAGATCATTATCAGATAAAAGTATTGTAGCCACTATAGTAGAAGGAGCTGTTGTTTCTGACACAGTGACAGTGTAATTGGTTGTGAATGAAGGAGGATTGTCATCAACTGGTATGTGTGTTATGGTAACTGTTACAGGCTCACTCCTATTGCCACTTGGATCTGTTACTACAAAAGTTGCTACAACGGGCTGAGTGAAATTAAACTCGTCTAAATTATTAGAGTATGTGATGCTGTGAAGTATATCAGTGTATTGAGATATGGTAGCACTTCCACTGATAGAAAGAGAGCATGTACTAGCGGTACAATCACTAGTGGAGGTAACGCCAGCAGGTAGGAGTGATTGAGTGAAGTTAATGCGACCTTCAAGATTATTATAAGTGATGGAGAGTGAAGCTAGATTAGTATCATCGGCATCAGAGATAGAAGAATTGGTAGCTAGAGTGACTGGAGTAGCTTGTCCTTCGGTATATGATAGAGAAGCTTGAGCTAGACTAATAATTGGTAGATTGTTCTGTTTCATGAACAAGATTTCGGCTAAAGCAGGCTCTCCCCTCACTTTACCATCAGACAAGGTACAGTTAACAAGACGGCCATTGTTAATGTTTGGGTTAGCAGATGAGCTGTAATAATAAACACTGGAGAGACTCCCCGAGAAATCAGCAACAGATCCATTACCATTGAATCTAAGACTGTGACTGCCATTACCCTCTACAGTCAGTGAGTCAGGAACTGAGCCGATTGCCAGGAGCATCTCTTGACTACCATCATAAGCATTGAAAAGAGAACAGATTAAATCACTGAGTACAGTATCATCATCATCGCTAATAGAGAAATGGCCTTCATTGGGTATCTGAGCAGGCACGTCACCCTCTGTGAATTCAACGATTCTATTATTAACTGTTGTTGTATCGAGATCAATTACAGGCGCATCATTAACAAAAGAGAACGTGACGACAGCACTCGCAGCACTACTGTTAAAGACACCATCAAATACTGATATCCTGATAGTACGAGAATTGCTTGATGTACAAGGGAATAGGTCAGAGCGACAAGGACTGGGCTCATCCTCTCTATTGATGTACTGTATGCTCTGAAGAAGACTAATGACTTCACTGATACTGCTAGGATTAGTGGGTATTATTAGCAACTCAAAAAGATTAGAGGAGCTGGCAATGACATGACTTGGTGCACCAGAAGCAACTGATAGTCTCTCTAGTGTAGAGCTCTCACCATTAGCAATGACTGCTGTTATACGAGTGATAGTAAGCGTTACATTATCAGGATCAGTTATTGAAGGATTATTGTTGAGTGTTACTGGTGCATTGGACTCCTCAACAAAGGCAACAGGGACATTGTTGAGAACTAGCTCTGGTGGGTCATTATTGATAGGCAAAACATCAATAATGATCATTGCATTGACAGAATTACCAGCAGGGTCTGTCACGCTAATCTCAACTGGATAAGAGACAGCAACTGAATAATTAGAAGAGAAGAGTATAGATAAAGTACCACTACTTGTGACACTGAATTCAACAGTATTGTGAACAGCAAACACTAGCTGTGTATTATCTGTGTCTGGATCAGTTGCCATTAAAGTCCCAAGGACCAATGGAGCCTGGTTATCTTCCTCAACCTCAAAGCGATTAGGCCCCAGAAACACTGGACTCCTATCGTCTTGGTTCAGAGCCATTACAGTGACATTAGTGCTGCTGCTCATTGAAGGCTGACCTCCATCTGTTGCTTCAAGATAGACGTAACATACCTCCTGTGTCTCGAAATCAAGGCCACCATTGATAGTCCTTAGAACAGCTGAAGATGAATTAAGCTGTACCTCAAACCTATTCATACAGCCAGAGGCAGGATGAATGGAGCTTATGCTCACAGAGCTTATCTGTGCATTGACTCCACTATCAATATCAGTAAAGTTTATTACCAGTACATCAGTATTAAGATTCTCAAGTACATTCACACTGTATGGGGCACTAACAAAGACAGGTGGGTTGTCATTAGCATCTGTTAGCTCAAAGCTAAAAGTGAAATTACAGCATTGGGAGTCAACATCACATGCTTGCACAATGATATCAGGATACTCACGCAGCCCTTCATCATAGTCTACCCCACCAAAGAGAGTTATTGATGCAATCCCTGAGCTGTTGGTTGATAAGCCAAACAAACTAGGCCAATTGGATATGAGAGAGTAACTAAGGACATCATGTCCACCACCCAAATCAGAGTCTGTAGCTTGTAGAGTGTGTATAGTGGAACCAGTGGATGTTTCTTCAGGTAATATAACAGTAGATGAAGTGTTACACTCTGGAGTGTTGTCATTGATGTGTGTTATACTGATGATGGTTACTGCAGAGTCACTAGGTGCACCTCCTCCTGGTATGAAAGTGAAGTCAATGTATCTGGTGACTGGCTTCGGCTCTGGCTCTGTGTTTTGGTATCTCAGGCAATCAATGACTCCAAGAAAAGCTTCCATAGTACCCAGCCCAAAAGTAAACTCTTCCCTGGCGAGATTATCATCAGCAGAGATACCCAAATCAAAAATACAACTGTCATTAGCAATCAACTGCTCACCGGCCTCAAGGTCAGGGTTTCTTATGCTGATGACCATTCTTAATAGAGTGTTTAGTGATATATCAACCCATCTCAGTGCTCCAGCAATGGGCAGACGAGTGAAGGAGTCCTCATCATAATTTATACTGTAGTTGTGACTTGGAGTGTCCAGGTCAATAATGACACGAGGATTGACCGGTATAATATCAACTAATACATGGGTATCAGAGGAACTCGTTAAATTACCATCACTGACAGTTATGTTAACGATACGGTCAAAGAGAGACGGGAACTCTGAGGGTTTCTTGTCATTAATGTATGTAACTGATCGAAGGAGGGACTGGTAGTCGGTTGTAGGAGCATGGCCAGAGAGAGTGATATTCTGACCAGCACAACTAGCAGGGAGGCATGTTATATTGAACTGAGAGAGGACGGTGAGATTGATGTAAATCCTCTCGTCCCCCTCATCAAATATTTGAGAAAGACCAGCAAAGGCAGACTCAAGATAAGCATCGTCGGAATCACTTACAATCAAATCTGGAGCTATTGGTAAGGCATCAGCTTCATCACTTCCTTCGTTAAACTCAAACGTGAGAGAGTTCTGATTCAAGACTCCAGAGGGATAGACATTAGGAGCATCATTAATAGTATTGATTTGAATTGTGGTTATTGTCAACGGGTAGTTATAGTTGCGACCGTCAAATATCGAGAACTGTATAACACGAGGTACAGCGTGTGGCTCATCAGCTAGATTATTATAAGTGAGCGAAGTGATGAATGCAGCTTGATATACAGCAAGAGTGTTTGTACCAGTGATGGTGATATTGTGTGCAGAGGAATGCGTTTCAAGCTGCTGTAGCTGACTGACTGCTAGAAACTCTTGAGTTGTAGATAGCTGTGGATTAGTGAGTATAATAGTTGCACTCTCTATCACTGGATCAAGGTCATCGTCAGAGAGAAAGGAGGTTGTGCTGACTATTGGAATAGACGTATCAACACCTTCGGTGAATGTGGTGCTGTAATTAAAGGATACTGTGTCACCACTGGCACTGAACTCAGGTGGATGCTGGTTGGAACGAGCGTAAATGTTGACAACACTTAGAGAACCAAAGCCAACCTCATCTTCTAACTATAGGAGTAAAAAAAACATACATAAAATTTATAATAAGAAATGAATATTGAAGCATGGAGTATGTACTTATGTTGTGTATAATCAAAATTGAAGCTTTAAATTCTTTTTAATTGCTCGAAATCTGGTCAAAGGCCCTGTACATAGTACAGGGACTTTGGTCAAATTTTGCCAAAAATGAAGAGGGGAGAATTGTTTTGGTATTTGAACATGTATTTATGTTGCATAGAAAGTTTGAATCAAATTTGGATTTTTTTTTACAAATTTTTAAAATTACTCAAAAATCAGGCCAAAGTCCCTGTACTTGGTCAAATTTCACTAAAAATGACTAAGAAAGAATTTTCCATTTTTATAATTTCTCTGATGCATATACATGCTCTTATGTTGCATAGAAAGTTTGAGTTGATTCCGATCAAATTTGGATTTTTTAATGAAATTTTTAAAGTTTAAATTGAAATTAAAAACTTAATATTTACCTGTAGCTCAATCCTTCTTCCTTCACCCATGTTAGCTACAGTTTGAGCTGGCAAGTGTCCATTTGTATTGTAACTGATGTTACGTAGGAATGCTGTGTATTCTGAAGGGGATCCACCTGCATTACTGAAGTATAGAGTACGCGATACAGGCTGATAGAAAACATTAGTGAAACTCCCAATAGTATTATTAAAGACATCACCAGTTCCTGGAGAGTACCCAGAATGCACTAGGCTATTGTTGCATGAAGCAAGACAAGTGTATTGAGAATTGTCCAAGAGACTTGTCATCATTAGCAACCTCAGCTCTCCATTAAATCCATAATTCAAAAAACGACTGGAGCTTCCGATTCTCCCAGTAATGGAATTCTTATTGGTTTTAGTATTGAGCCTAGCTGGCATGTCATATGTTCCACTTCCATCAGTTATTTGATTTAAATCAACTTTAGTGCCACTAACACCATGATAATGGCCTTCAGTGACATAGTGAACATAACCATCAACAAATAGTTTGATAGATGGATAAGTTATGTCAAGTTTATAGAAATGCCACCCTCCATCACAAATGTTAGTAGTGCTCACTGCTGACTGAAAGTAGAAGCTAAGACCAACTCTACTGTTTTCTCCAGAATCAGGTTGACTAGCTGGTATATTGTCCAATCTACCACGAGTATAAAACAAGGTCAAACGATTATCTCGACGAATACGCCATGTAAATGTTCTTTTTCCATTGCCATTAGACACATTGTCATTATCAAAAGAGAATACATACTGACTAGCCCGATTGTTATTATTGCATTTGAGCCAAGCTGATGTTGAAAAGTTATCTGTAAAATCAAGTGCAGCATTCTTGACTGTTGTATCCATCGTATAGTAGCTAGTGTCAGAAGAAGTACCTCCACTGTATGAGAAACGAAGGACATCGGTCCCTGCAACATGAACGGGATTAAAGGTACCACTGTTTGGTGGAATGAGTCCCTGAGTCAGGTTGACTGCATTAGCTAAAGATATTCCACACAGTTGATATTCAGTACCACATCCAGACCCAGAACATGAGCACTGAGCATACTGAGTAGGGAAACTCTGCAAAAATAACAAATACATAATTATAGATTTATTATGAGTATTGCAAGTAAAATGGGCTCACTTGAGTAACTCCATTCAGTATGTGCTTGGATTGTGCTCTTCCACTGTTAATGTTACCATCATCGCTTGCAACAAGGAAGGACAATGGAATCGATCTTTGATCAGAGTCTATATCAATGTGTTGCTCTGATGTTGCAGGACTAATGGAGGGTCTCTGAGCAGTTGAGAGAGAGAGGGAACACACTAACAGCAATAATACTATTAGTGCTTGTTCCATGCTCAATACCCTAGACAAAAGAATGATGTTAAAAATGGCCGGCGCACAGGAAAAGTTTTACAGAATATTTTATGGCTGCATGCAGTCATCTCACTTACCTGCAGAGGGCTTGCTTTAGAATCCTCTAATACAAAGGTTCCAGTAGAGATCAGGAAGTAGCTGCAGAAATCCCCACAGCGAACTAAAGAAGCGCCGCTAACTCGCGAGTATTAATGGGTGGGTTGGGAACCGCCCTGAACATCGTTCTAGCAATATCTATCAAATTTCATAAGCAATGAATTTGTAACAGAATCCCACCCACCAACACCACTCTATGATAGCTTATATCTCTTATAAAAAATATTGTGAAGATGAAAATACAAGAATTTAGAAAAAGTAGTACTCAAATTATCATAAAAGAGTAAAAGGATACAATAGTTTTTAGAGAGAGAGACTGTACAAATGGTGTAAATGGCCTGTGAAAGTAAAAATATATATTCATAGACAGGAGACAAGACACGAAATTTGATACCATTTGAGCCAACCAATTGCGCATGAATGAAATTTATGAACTACAGAACTAAGAGTAAACAAGTCTTTATACACTGTAGGAGATCACGTATGCATGGTTAGCAAGAAAAGAACAAAATTGAAGAGGGAAAGAGAGAGAAATAATGATTAAACAGATAAACCTACACTATGCGAAGCTATATTTACATATACTGAACAATGTGATGCATAATAGTATGTATACCAAAGACGTGTGTGAATATACTGCTTTATTAGTCCGAATACAAATACATGTACAAGGAAATGCTCACAGCATGCGCTGTCTTTAATTGACATCCTTAATTGGAGATGTTTTCTCAGGATTGATGTCTTCATCGGATTCATCAGAAGATGAAGCAGAAGATGAAGAAGAAGGATAACTAACTGCAAAGGGGAAACGGAATAAATAAACAAAATGTGGTCTCACTGACTATCACGTGATTTCATTGAATCAATCTCTAACTCTTCCAACCATTTCTGTTGGACCGACAAAGTCTCAGCTGCAGTCTTTGCTCCTTCATATCTCTCAAGGAGATCACTGATAAGAAAGAGGGGAGAGAGGGAGAAAGAAACAAATTAAACAGTATAAATTGGCAAAAGATGAGCCAATTTTACTGAAAGGTGATATTATTAGTGGAATTCTTTAATATGTACACCTGTATATTCTATAGGATGGGATCTGGCAAAACTCAAGCATTTTTATAAAAACCCACTTTTGATCGAAATCAGCTCAAATAATAGTATATACATAACATAAGAACATGTTATATGCACCAGAAAAATTATAAGATAGAGAAATTTCTCCTAAATTTGATCAAAGACAATGTACTGCAAAAGTTGTGGCAGCCATTTTGAAGTGAGGTGAATCCTACTTAGTAACGCTACCATGTTACTAATAGTAGTACAGGGACTTTGCCCAAAGTTTAAGTAGCTTCAAAATTCATAAACAACTAATTTTGATCAGAATCAGCTTAAACTTTCTACACAACATATGTATCAGAAAAAAATTAGAAAAATGGAGAAACCTCACCTAGCCATTTTCCACAAAATTTGGCCGAATATCCTGTACTATAGTACAGGGACTTTGGTCTGATTTTTGAGCAATTTTAAAAATTCATAAAAAATCCAATTTTGATCAGAATCAGCTCAAAGTTTCTACACAACATAAGAACATATATATCTATCAGAAAAAATTATAAAAATGGAGAAATCTTACCTAGCCATTTTTGACAAAATTTGGCCGATGACCCTGTACTATAGTACAGGGACTTTGGTCAGATTTTTGAGCAATTTTTAAAATTCATAAAAAATCCAATTTTGATCAGAATCAGCTCAAACTTTCTACACAACATAAGAACATGTATATGTATCAGAAAAAATTAGAAAAATAGAGAAATCTCACCTAGCCATTTTTCCCAAAATTTGGCCGAAGACTGTACTATAGTACAGGGACTTTGGTCTGATTTTTGAGCAACTTTAAAAATTCATAAAAAAATCCAATTTTGATCAGAATCCGCTCAAACTTTCTACACAACATAAAATATGTTATATGCTCAGATAAAATTATAAAACTGGAGAACTGTCTTCTAGTCATTTTTGACAAAATACCCTCCAATGGTCTTTATTCAGATTTTTGAGCAACTTTTAACAAGTCATTAAATCCAATTTTGATCAGAATCAACTCATTACATATTACCAAGAGTACATAATATAAAGAGAGTATCGAACAGCCCTATAACAGACTGCTGCATGAGGGTGTATTTGCTCAAAGTCACAATCCGCATACTCCAGTATACTTATCATATCATGTGATCAACCATGTGGCAACATTATCTGGCCCTTAGCTTTTAAAAACTTGGCAATCTCTTCCAATACAAGAAAGGAACTTGAAAGAAGGCTGGAAAGATGAACTACAAAGGCAGCCCTGCTAGTATCCAGGAATTTGTGCCCCAAGCACTTGCCAACTCATGACAATGGCACATCAATGTCTACGCGATAATTATATTCATTGATAAAGTATACTAGAGTATGCAGATTGTGACTTTGAGCAAATACGCCCTCATGTAGCAGCTTGTATAGGGCTGTTCGATACTCTCTTTAGGTATTATGTACTCTTGATATTACACTAGTATAATAATTATTATATACGAGTATTGCCCCATGTCTTTTACCTGTTCACGGAAAGAAAGGCGTGCCCCCATTTAAAACGAGAGAGCAATCCCTCAGCATCTGAGCGGAATCCTACCAGAAGAAGAGTGGCAGCAAAAGCTTCCACACACGAGAGCTTGCAAGGCTTCCCGTAATTGATGGGATTAGCAGCCACCAGGTAAGGAAGCAGCCTCAAATGTCCTCCTTTCATTTTGTGAAACGGTGTCTCTTCTAGCCTGGCCCAAGAGCAGTCAATAACAGCTACTCCTTTCTTTAGTACAATATCTTTGTCCTCATACGAGACACACTCCTGGGCCTGAGGTGAAAGTACGATTCCAGGGAAATGGGAGGAGATAGGGAGTGGCTTAACAACACCAAATCTTATTAGTCTGCGTCCTGAGCACTTCTTAGGATCACAATGACCCAAGTCCTATGATACGACAGCAAAACTGAATAGCAAGCGAGAAATTATTGTTCATAAATGCATTTTTGTTTATAAATGAAAATCTTTTGATGGCTTATATCACACCATAATTTTTAAAAAATTTTTCCAAAATTGGGCTCAAAATGGACCTAAAAATTCATATTCCCTAGAATCCCTTGTTTGTTGGCCTCATACCATATGAAAAAGTTTGGGCTAATTCCAGTTAACATTTTTGGAGTTGTGGTTGTTAGAAAAATGTTGGACTCACCCACATGGCAAGTTTAAGATGATGAGAAGCTTCATCTGTTTCTTGGTCTCCAAATTCTGTTTCTCTGTGGAATGATACAATGAACATTGAAAATAATACAACCATTCACCTGCTCTTGAAGTCAGGACGATGCTTTAATTTTTTCTTCAATTTTCCATGTACTTTTTTACAAGACATCTTTCCTCACGTGGGTGTCTATTTTAATTTTAATAACCAAACAGTTAATAAACTGTTTTAGTTTATTAACTAGATAGTTATTAAATAGTTAATTTTAACCCTTTATTTACCTCCTCCTCGGCTCCTCCTGTCAATTTTTATTTTCTAGGATCACCAATTCACCATGGGTAGGAGATCCACTAAAACTACAAAGACTGGCAAGTTTATGAATCCAACGGACCAATGGAGTAAGCTAATATGTGCCTCTGTGCTCACTCACTCCATCTCTCTCTCCTCTCTCTCTCTCTCTCTGCAGGAAAACAAATAAGAAAAAAAGAATTAAAAAAGGTGTGGCTAATCTGAGCATGAAAATTATTTTATTACTAATACAGAACAAGCAGCAAAGAACTGCAGTTAGAGAAGCTGTCTTGAAGAATAAGAATCCGATAACTTTATTGTCAGAGATCGAAGAGATAGAGAAAATGGGTAAGTAATTACTGGCTTCAGATACAGAACTTATCTTTTTTTAAATAATAGAAATTGAGGCAGGATCAGAAGAAGTCCTGCCAGCTGAGAAAGGGCTTAAAGAAAAAAAGAGGAAATTACACGAGACGCTTCAAAGGATTATCCTTTATCACGTAATTAAGCAGAGATGCACATTGATTTTATTTCTGTCTGCTATTTTAGGAGCGTCAAAATCCTGACGAAGCAAAGAAAATAAAAGCGTAAGCAAGATATGAGGGAAAGAGATTGTATATCCAAAAGAGAGAGAGAGTGAGTATAACTTAATATTATGTAGTTTGGTGGCAGAGAGTGAAAAGAAGAGAAGAGCTATGTCAAAAGTGTACAGTAAGCTTAAAATATCTATTATACTGTTATTAGTACATATTAATTTATTATTTAGACTCTTATAGAACTGCGAGGGTAAGTTTATTATTATTATTTATTATTATTATTATTTATTATTATTATTATTTATTATTATTATTATTATTTTTAATAGTCACAAATAAGTCTCTCCGATATCCCATTACCAGAAGGAGCATCTGCATCAGGTTAAGATATTGATATTATCAACAATTAATTTATTATGATATTATACATTTTGATTCATTCCTGCAGAAGACACCAGGTAAGACTAATTTGAGATGAAATTCAATTTTCCATGTTTCTCAATGCATGCAGATGGGACTCTATGGGTCAAACTTCTCCTTCTTCATTGCATCCACCAGGTTTGGTTTTATTAATAATAATAATAATAATGTGAGCATTGAGGGGGCGAGCATGAGCTATTGATTGACAGTTTTAAAAATCAATCCAGCTCTTAGTTTATTTTTTGATTAAAAAATTATTTTTTTATTTTCTTTTTTTAAATTTTTTGTACATGTATATATATATTTTTTAATTCTTTTTTTATATTTTATTTTTATTATTTATTTAAAACTTTTTTAAATTTTTATTTTTCAAGTTAAAATTTTTTATTGTTTATTACAAAATTTTTCTAACCAATGCTACTTGATACTGGCCCAGTATTGGTTGTATCGATAATATTCAATAGTATCACCCACCACTACTCATCCCAATAACTTTATTATTTTTGTGACAGGACCACCATCTGGTCTGCCTCCTGACCTTGTCTTTCCTCCTGTCATAACTTACGATGAGCTCTACCCCCCAGAGGAAGAGAGAGACCAAGAGCAAGAAGAAGAAGAAGAACAGGAGGCAGAGGATAACAGCAGTGAGGAGGAGGAGGAGGAAGAGGAACATCAGAGAAGTGAAGATGAAGGTATGTGTGAGAGAAGACTTATCATTATAATAATTATTTTTTTAGAATCGGATCATGATGAAAGTCAAGAGAGGATAAGACCTCCTCCCCCTCCCCCTGGCCTGCCTCCTGGCTACTCTGTACTGCCCCACCCACTTCCTCTCTTTCCTCCTTCCTCGCAGTTTCCTCCTCCACCTTCTCTCCAACCCCCACCTCATGAAGGATCAACCAATCGCTTCCACCCTCCCCCTCCATTATTCAACAAGTCTTCTCCTCATATTCAGTCTTCCCCAATGCCATCAAGCCAAAAAGCTAATCCTGTTATCTCTGCACAGCCTCAGTTACGTAACGTTCAGGCTGAAGTAACTAAGTTTATGCCGACGTCGCTGCGAGTTAGACGAGACCAGCCCAAAGGAGTTAAAGCTAAGCTCAGAACTGCTGGTGGTTTAGCTGGTAAAGGAGGGGAAGGGAGCCTAAGCAATCCCTTGTCATCTTCTACAAGCAAGCCTGGGATACAGGGAGACGCTTATAAAGCATTTATGGAAGAAATGCAAGGACTATTGTAACGATTTTAGTAATAAAATAATTGTATTAGTTAATAAAGAAAAGTAAAAGAAAAATAGTATGTATACATAATGTTGTTCTCGCTCTTTCTCTCTCTCTCACCCTCTCTCTGTATAATGTGTGTTGTGTACTGTACAGTCTGTGCTTTACATAAGTGTAGCTACTGCTGGTACAGGCCCTGAGGATGAATGAGGGTATCCACTCATTGGAAGGCCCACACTTGTCATCCAGCTCTGACCAGACTCGGGAGAAATTTGTATGCTACGATCTCTTAGTGTTTCTGCCCATGGGTGCTCAAAACCAATGTTTGGAGACTCGGAGCGACTCTCTGCCCACGGTGGAAGGAGTTGGGCTGGAGACTCTTGGCTTGTCATAATCTCATTGAGTAATGGATTGAGAGAGCTTGTTGTTGGTATGATGGAAGATGTGTCGGTGGAGAGTGACATTGGTATGATTGAGGGAGAGCAGCCGTACACAGGATCAGTCTCAGTTCCTGTGATGGGTGTACCAAACGATGCGGGGCAAGTATGAGGCAGCATTTCATGGCAAGTGCTGCAGAGCATTTTCTGACTGCTGAGGAGTGTAGTCCAGTCTAGATCGGCTGATAGTAAGTGATGATCAGTGTCAGGGACATTCGATCCCATTTGCATAGCTGAAGTACTCTTTGGGCGCCTCTTCTGTGGTGTTGTTTCCTTGCTTCCAGGTTTAGAGCCATTGGAACTTGTGCTGTGTAGCTTCCTACGGGATTTTCCTCTCTTAGCTCCGGAGAACATTCGAAGACTGTTTTGGATTCCTTCTATTCTCTGGAATTCGACTTCATTTGTGACAACATTTTCATATTCTGGATTGATCTTCCAAAAACTTCCTTTGCCTGGGTCTCCTTCACTTCTTGGGATTTTTATGAAGAAGTCATTGAGGGAGAGGTTATGCCTCACAGAGTTCTAAAGGTATGAGGTGACATAAGAAATGCACAACATGAAATGAATATCATTTTGAGGTACTTAGTCACCCTGTGTATCTCAAGTCTCTAGTGAGCTAGTATTACACCCTCTTCTGTTACCATGAATAATGTCACTGATAACAAGCTAGTTTTGATTTTCAAAAACAGCTTAGACATGCACATGCAGACCACCCTGAGTCTCATCATGCAGTCTCACTTTCTCACTCACTCTTCATTATCTCTCTCCTCTCATGACATCTATTAGTGCAATATGCCAAGTATTTGTAATGTGTGAAGTGTGGTGACTATAATCATACCTGCCACGTTGACTCTGCCACTCTGTAGTACATGAAATGATCCTTTATCCACTGATATATCTCCCCTAATGTCACCTTGTCATTCTTGCTTGAGCGAATAGCTAGATATATTATCGTAGTGTAGGAGAATGGAGGCTTGGCAGGATTGTCTTGGTATTTCCACTGATTCTGTTCGAACTCTGCAGTTTGGTTCATGCAGCGCTTTAGAGGGGAGAGTGGTAGTAATTCTTCTTGAGGCCGCTCCATTTTTTCGTGTTCGTTTTCAAAAACCGAGTCCCCACCAGAACTAGAAATAGAATCCTTGCGAGGCTGCACTACTAGCTTGTCAATGCTGGGAATCTGAAAATCAGGCAGCCAATTAAGACTTGTCAAACTGTTATCTATCGGCCCTATGCCATGTGTACAAAATGATGCATTTTATATCAAATGGTAACTCATAAATCTTACCTTCGTTGTGGTGAAATAAAGCAAATGCTTCTGTTGCTTGCATCATCTATGAAAATATTTTATTTTAGTTTTAATTACAGTGCAAACATTACTGAATCTACTAACATGCATGGACTGACTTGCAGTTCTTTAGCTATCAGCTGCAACCTTCCCGCTATATAATAATGCAAGTAATGAAGATGCGGGGGCTCACACACTTGACACTACAAATAAATAAGGAGAAGCAATTAGAGCCTGTGGTTTTTGGCCATTGTAGCAGCATTACTAGCAATTCAATAGATAATATCACTTACAAATAAAAAGCAGTTGATCCGCTTAAATTTTCACTGCAGTACTAGAAGTGGAAGTGCAAAGATAAGAGCAAGACTGACTTGAATATCAACAAATAGCTCACACGCGCCGCTAACTTCATCTAAAATCATCACTTCAGTGTTTACATCTCAAGGAGATTGAATTACACCGTTATTACTCTAAATACACGTACAGAAAAATAATATTGCACAGTGACACTCCAATGACTTTAATTAGCTGAACATGTTTACTACCAATTCTTAATTGTGTTAAGTACAAATATGGGCATCAGACATTGTGTGAGATACACAACGATGGAACGACAATCAGAGCAACCCATCTTTTTTTACAAAAGCACATCTGAATCAATAATAATTTGAAAACAACAAAAAACTTTACAACAACAATAATTACAAACATAAAGAGGCGTGTAACAAAAACAATTCTAATATAATAATAACAATAGCCAAATAACGATCAATATACTGTATACATAGCATACACAATCGATCCTCTCTCTGCTGGCAGGGAAACTATTGAAATAGAGCGAATGAGGGAGGCTGAGACAAGAGGGGAAAGGGCCAGAACATGAGTCAATTGAAAGAACAGAAAGAATTAGCAGTAACTGAAAGATGGAGTGAAATTAAAATTGTCCTGTTATCCCACGTCAAAGTGGGCCTGACATTTCATCAACTATTCTGCATGTTTACTATTCTGGCGTCAAATCCACCTCTCTGGTCAGGACTGGAGGCCTTTAGCTGAGCAAAGGCTGCTAGAGTATCTGGTAAAGTGGGAGGAGTAGCTGGAGTGTTTGTAGGGACACATGACTAGAAAGAAAGAGAGAGAGGAGGGGAGAGAGAGAGGGAGAGAGAGGGAGAGAGAGAGAGACAGAGACAGAGACAGAGAGGGAGAGACAGAGAGAGAGAGAGGGAGGGAGGGAGAGAGGGAGGGAAAGAGAGGGAGAGAGGAAGTTGTTAATGACACAATCAATCCATTATTTACTACAGTCCATGGAATGTAAACACAATCCAGACAAAGCAGGCAGGGCCAAAACATTTAATATCAATTGCCTTAGAATGACATAATGCCCATTTTACCAAACACAATAGTTTATATACATGTACATGTACACACTCTTCCCACTACATACATGTACATGTGTGTCCCTTTCGACTTACATATGACATCCTAGCACCAAATGTGTTAGACGCTGAATTGCTCCCGCTCTCCATTCCACTGCTGCTGGCAGAAGAGCCACACATACTGCTGCTCCCACTCTCCTGTGCGTTGTGATAGTGATGAACGTTTGGCTGGTTACCAGGGACCAGAGAATGCCCTTGAAAGAATAAACTAAAAGCTACCTGTGTGATAAAAGAGGGACAAAGGCAATCGAGTAAGGTAAAAGGATGATTAGTCTAATGTACGTACTTCTATCTGCCACCGAGCTTTCTGTAATATCTCCGTGGCTTGCTCCGTGGTACAGCCGACTTGATTACAGAACTGATTGACCATAATCTGCTTTCTTAATACCTCTTGATTAATATCCATGTCTACCAGTAGAAAGGAAAGAGGAGGGAGAGCCAGTAAAATACTCTTCTCTCTCTCTCTTCTTATCTTGCTGACGCGACACAGAGAAAGCAGTTTAGAGCACAGCCCAAAGAGCTTGTAAACAAAACGTGGCTCTCACGTGAGGATCACGTGATCATAATAATAACTTAATAAAAATTAATAAACTTTTTCTAACACTACATTTCTTTCAATATTGTTTCCAATGCATTAAGAAATATTTCAGCATGCTTTGATTGGAATATAAGAGCAGGCCTCATTCTGATGGACTCTCTTCCAGAAGGACCAACATTAATACCTGCAAAAATAAACAAGAGCTCAGCTGAACATCTGCTGCATGCAGCCTAGCAAGCTACCTTTCACTTTTAATTTAGATACCATCTCATCTCTATTCTTAGCATCAAATGCACAAAATGTACCAACACCCCTTGCCTTACTGATGTGCCCTGGATACAGCTCCTGCAGTAGATAATAGCTTCAGTACAAACAGTAGCACAAACTGTACTTGCAATTGCTTTAATCCAGATAATAGTGTATGACCAGACTCCCTAACTAAAGACAACAAATTCTCTCTCTTCATTTCTTCAAGTACTGCTGATAGTAAGAGTAATTTAGAAGGTTCACCCATCCATGTGTTGAATATTCGAGAAGGCTGCATATGAATTGCATTATAGCTATGGCATTGCATAAATTACTTGAGTTGGTATTATTCCATCAATTGCAAACACTCCTCCTGATTGTAGTTTCTTTGCAAACGTTACTAAATGAGGTGGAGTAGGTAGACCCCAGGACTCATGTGCCCTATATGATATGAATGATCATATGTAATCCCGTTTTAAGCAAACCAAAACTGCCCAGTAGATCCTCCACAAGTTTGAACTTCATCCACAATGAAAGCTGATCCATACTTTAAGCAAATTTTTTGCAATCCTTTAAAAAATTCCGGGGAAGCATGATTATCTCCTATAAAATAATCAACAAACAGGCTCCCATTATAAATAAAATTGGGTATACCTCCTTCTCCTTGTATTGGTTCAATAATAACAGCTGCAACTGGGGATGTTTTTTCATAACTTTCCATTAGATTCTCTACTTCTTCCAGACACCTCTTCTCTTCGGCTTCATTCTCCCTCACATGTTCCTAAATAATTATGATGATCATTTGATGATGTAATTCTGAGTGTCTCACTTCAAGAGGATATCTTAATGAAGGGAAAGGAGCAATGGGACCTTTGAACAATGGAAAATCAACCTTATTGATTGCTTTGGAGTGTGTCAATGACAAACAACCTATAAAAATATGTTTATACTTTTTAAATTTCTAAAAAATTTAAATTGGTCAGAATCTGCTCAAACTTTCTACACAACATAATATATACATGCATATGCATCAGAAGAATTACTAAAAATTCAGAATTCTTTATTTTAATTTTGATGAAATTGGGCCCAAGACCATGGTACAGGAATTTGAGCTCAATTTTTTAGCAAATTAAAAAATTTGTAAAAAATCTAAATTTGATCAGAATCAGCTCAAACTTTCTATGTAACATAAGTGCATGTATTATATCAGAAAATGGAGAATTCTCGCATTGTCATTTTTGGCAAAACTTGCCCAAAGTCCCTGTACTATTATAGTGCAGGGACTTTACTTTGGTCTGATTTTGGAGCAACTTTACATTGCTAACCTAATGTTCGTCCATGGAAAGCATTTGAAAAGGACATAACAGTGATATTAGGACAACCTGGGGACTATCAAAAATCAATAATGATTAATCATGATTTTAATCAAAATTACTTGATTTTTCAATGCACTATCTAGTTCGTCTTGAGAAATTGGTCTATCTCCTCTTTTATTGTTCTTATAATAATAATAATAATAATAATAATACAATAATTATTGTACCTGATTATTCTTACCATATACCACATGAATGCAAGCTTGAGTGCATTCTCAACAGAGCATGCACCACACATGAGCTGTACTGAGTGATTCATACCGTTCGGTTTAATAGAAAACAAAGACTTCTCTAGCAGTGCCAGGTAGTCAACAGATGGCGCATAGCCAAGAGAAGGTCTTGATGAAAGGAGGGTCATCATGTCATCTGATACTGATGCTTTTAAAAGTGTTGGATTGTTATATCCTGTTGTAATTAAAGAAGTTATTGCTTGCTCATGCATGTGCTCAAACCTAGTGGCAGAGTTGCTATTTGTTGGTAAACATCAAGAAATGCATTACCATCAGCATCGACCATGTAATTACCAGAGGAAGCCTTGTAATCAACAAATATCTCAACATTAGCAGTTAACTATGGGTACAATGAAGTCACAATATCAGTGCTGTTATTAAATATTCTCACATGAAACTGGCTCAATCTATTTAAACATTCCTATTAGAAAAATTAATTATGATTATAATAAAAGGAATGAGAGAATTTACAAGTGATTTAGGTCCAGGGACACTGCTAGTCCTAACTTGAGGTGCTTCATATCCACCATCAAGACTGTCCAAATCTTTAAGAGAGACATTCCAGTTTGTTTTGCAATATAAAACTTACATTTCTTGTTAAATATTATGGGCCCTTTATTTTGAAAAGCTGAGAAATGTCTGACAAACAAGGAACTACTACCACTATAAGAAAAACTGATATTTCTTGCTAGCATCAACATCTTGCACAGCTTAGTAGGAGTGGCTGCTCTTAACCGCACCCATTATTAACAAAAAATAATAATGTTATTAAAAATAAAATAAAATAATTAAAATAAGGATAATAATGAATACAGGGTGCCATAATGCACCTAGATGTTAAAACACACCATAATTCATGTAATTATTGTTATTTATAATAATAATAAATAATGTCATTTATGATTTCTGCATTTCCTTAAGTACTGCTTCGAGTGAGCTGAGAAACATTTCTGCATGTTTTGGTTGAAATATCAAAGCTGGTCTCATTCTGATCGAATGCATTCCACAAGGGCCAGAATTTATGCCTAATTAATAACAATTATGAACATCATTAATCTGTAAAAACAAACACAGTCACACCTTTCACTTTTAATCTAGCTACAACTTCATCTCTGTTCTTAGCATCAAATGCACAAAATGTACCAACACCTCTTGCCTTACTGATGTGCCCTGGATACAACTCCTGCAGTAGATAATAGTTTCAGTACAAACAGTAGCACAAACAAGCTAATACCTGCAATTGCTTTAATCCAGATAATAGTGTATGACCAGACTCCCTAACCAAGGACAATAAATTCTCTCTCTTCATTTCTTCAATTATGGCTGACAATACTACTAGTTTAGTAGGATCACCCATCCATGTGTTGTAGATACGAAATGACTAAGAAA